TATTCATTTATTCATTTATTCATTTATTCATTTATTCATTTATTCATTTATTCATTTATTCATTTATTCATTTATTCATTTATTCATTCATTCATTTATTCATTTATTCATTTATTCATTTATTCATTCATTCATTTATTCATTTATTCATTTATTCATTCATTCATTTATTCATTTATTCATTTATTCATTTATTCATTTATTCATTCATTCATTTATTCATTTATTCATTCATTCATTTATTCATTTATTCATTTATTCATTTATTCATTTATTCATTTATTCATTTATTCATTTATTCATTCATTCATTTATTCATTTATTCATTTATTCATTTATTCATTTATTCATTTATTCAATTATTCATTTATTCATTTATTCATTTATTCATTTATTCATTTATTCATTTATTCATTTATATATAAATCCTTTATTTAGTCAATTTGGCTAATTTACATTTTCATGTCATTGCAATAGTCACAATGAGATCGGTATATAGTTAATTCATACACTTGTCACAAAAAAAATATTTACACATAATTTATATATATATACACATCTATACACATCCAAAAAAAAATATTTGATAAATACACAAAATAATTTAAAACATACTAACACATGTACATTGGCGTTATCTGAATATTAAAATAATCTTAACAAAATGAGGAAGTGGCTACTAGGATTTTCATTGATTGAGAAAATATGATTTCAACTTTGTCTTGAAGGATGTTAAAGATGTTAAATCTTTGATCTCTTCTGGCAGCTTATTATAGCTATCAAGTCCTTTGAAAAAAACAGAATTTTGAGTATGTGTTAATGTGACTTGTTGAATATGGAAGTTAGATCTAGATCTTGTATTGTATCCATGGATCTGGTCATTGTATAAAACTTTTTCTTGTAGATATGTTGGAGAAATTTTATTTCTTATTTTGAAAATGAGGATTAATGTTTCATTTATTCATTTATTCATTTATTCATTCATCCATTTATTTATTCATTCATTTATTCATTTATTCATTTATTCATTTATTAATTCATTCATTTATTCATTTATTCATTTATTCATTTATTCATTTATTCATTTATTCATTTATTCATTTATTCATTTATTCATTTATTCATTTATTCATTTATTCATTTATTCATTTATTCATTTATTCATTTATTCATTTATTCATTTATTCATTTATTCATTTATTCATTTATTCATTTATTCATTTATTCATTTATTCATTTATTCATTTATTCATTTATTCATTTATTCATTTATTCATTTATTCATTTATTCATTTATTCATTTATTCATTCATTCATTTATTCATTTATTCATTTATTCATTTATTCATTTATTCATTTATTCATTTATTCATTTATTCATTTATTCATTTATTCATTTATCCATTTATTCATTTATTCATTTATTCATTTATTCATTTATTCATTTATTCATTTATTCATTTATTCATTTATTCATTTATTCATTTATTCATTTATTCATTTAATCATTTATTCATTTATTCATTTATTCATTTATTCATTTATTCATTTATTCATTTATTCATTTATTCATTTATTCATTTATTCTATAAGAACTCTTTTGATGTTTTGGAAAAGAAAAAGATTTTTACTTGTTATAGGCACGGCAGCTCGTTTGTTTGGGAGCAGGTCGTGAGTTAGTTCTTTTTTTAGGTAACTAGTGGGGTTATCCTTTTGTCAGGCGCCACTCAGTTTTCACAGCTGAATTACTGAGAAAAAATCCAAGATATAAATATAAGCCAAAATAACTGTTAACAGATTTATTCACCTTAACATGTCAACAATAGGTATTCAAATGGTGGTAAATATGTACTATGATTGTAACTCAGCACAAGGGTAGATTTCCCTTCATATAGGCCTATACTTTGGGTTCACAGAGTCTCTAACAGACCCAATAATTCTATTGAATGTAAAATCCGATCTTAGACTGTTATGTGTTATTGACAAGTGTTCAAATATCTCATGACATTAGACAGTGAAAAATAACTATTTAAATGTCCTCAGACAGGAAAAAAAATATGTAGATTAAATGTCCTCAGACAGTGAAAAAATATGTATGTTAAATGTCTTCAAGACAGGGAAAAAAAGTACATGTTAAATGTCCTCAGACAGGGAAAAAATATGCAATTGAAATGTCCTCAAGACAGGGAAAAAAGTATATATGGAATATTCTGACCTTAGCTGCAAGTTCTGGATTTTGAACCATGAGATTCCAACTGTGGTCCAATAGATCTCACTACCTGGATGAACAAAGACACTCCTCCCTCAGTCGGCGTTAGGGGTTAGGTGTGCTAGGAAAACTGGATCCCCACACAGTTGACAGGAGTCACAACCACCTGGAGACCTGGGCACTTGGTGTATCCCAGGGCAACTGGATTCTGAACTGCAACTCTGGCTGACGGGTCCACAGGCTGCCACCAGGGCAAGCTCTTCCTACCATCCAAGCTGGACCAGGACGTCTCACTATCTGACTGGGCTCTGGGAGTTCAGGCTCCAAAGTAGCAAAATCCTAGGGATGCAGGATCATCAAACATACCGGGAGTCTGGACTCCCCTGTACTTCCTGTCAGAAGTCAGGATCACTGGCTATCTGAACCAGAAGGCTACTAGGGACTTGCACTGTTGGCAGCAAGGATTCTGCCAGAAATTCCAGGCTGTCGGGTCCTATAGATGCCCAGAGACATACGCAAGAAATCACCAGGGTCTTGCTTCCACCTCCAAGTGTGTAGGTGACTCAAGCTTCAAAGCACGAAGATCCCTCAGGTGCCTCAACCATTGAAAAAAGTGCCCACGTGATGTCCAAACAGTGAAGTCCAGAAAACAGTTCAAGATTTCTAAATGCCCATAGTTGATGAGATTCGATATTTAGTGATCCATCCAGTTAACAGTGTTGATTGGTAAAATTCAATTCAAGTCCAGAAACATAGCATGTGGTCAAAAGAAAATGGAGTTTATATCTTCCACATCTGTATCCCGTACTCCCCTGTATAAGGCCGTGATATCTGGAATGTAGATACCCTATCGAATATCATCCACACAAAAAGAGATTTAATATTTCTTACCTTCCTATCGGAAAGGCCTAACACAAAAGTAGGTGTCCACCACCTGACCTGATCGCACGAGAGCCAAAATCAAAAAGGGCCTCATTTTGGCTTCAGCACATGAAACCTTTTCGCAAGAGAAGGAATCAGCAAGAAGGATGAATAAACGGAAATTGCTCAAATAACAAGTTTCCGTCAATCAGAGCACTTTTGATCTATTGCAAAAAAATAATACAAACCAAAATCCGTCTCTGCGCAATGTCAATCTAGCCACCCAAATAATATGATTCAAGTCAGATTCAGGGATGCAACTTGAAAGAAATATTAAATATCGATCATGACATCGATAGTCGATACGATAGTCGATACATAATTGCAAATATCCCTGCACCATTACAGGCCACTGCCACTAAACGCGACAAACAGTCTTCTACTGGCAAGAGACTATGATGGAAACAACAATATTCATGGGCGTCTGACAAGTGTGTAAGGTTGGATAAGAAGTGGACTAAAATAACCCAACAGTCATGGACATTGAAAATGAAAACATTTAACAAGATGGAATAATGTAAAGTACCTCAAAACCTAGAAAAGAAATCATTGAGTTACGCAGTCCATCTCTACAAAGCTTCCCTATCACCTATTTGCAGAATTCACAATATGGAACACGAAAAGGCAAATCTTCATGTTACAATTCATTCATTCATTTATTCATTTATTCATTTATTCATTTATTCATTTATTCATTTATTCATTTATTCATTTATTCATTTATTCATTTATTCATTTATTCATTCATCCATTTATTCATTTATTCATTTATTCATTTATTCATTTATTCATTTATTCATTCATCCATTTATTCATTCATTCATTTATTCATTCATTATCATAGGTTATGTAATAAGTTTTTGCTAACACCACCACATATTATAATGCAGTACCTCATGACTGATTCGGCGAGTGAGTTATATATCATTATTAGGAGCTTTTTATTATTAATATTTCTGAGTTGGTAGAATTTGAAGGATAATTTGCTGAGTCTTATAACTGTCTGATCTACATGTTCCTCCCATCGCAAATGTTGATCTACATATTTACCAAGATATTTCATATTGTTGACCTTATCAACTTTAGGACAGGTGCATATCATTGGGGTTTGGCAACTATGATTGTGTATAGTGAGCGTATTCTTGGATGGTTGATCTTTAATTGTGGAGGTAAACGTAACATATTTCGTTTGAGCTGTATCATCTGATGCATATGATATAATGTTGCCTTGGATGTTATCAACTTCCCAAATGTCGTTAATTTATATTAAAAATAAAATCTGACCTAGTAATGTCCCCTGGGGGACGCCCATGGTAATAGGTAGCGGATCACTATAAAAATTGTTTATTTTCACAATCTGGTTTCTGCCAGATAGGTAATTTCCGAAAAGCTGTGGGGTGATTTTTCTTACTCCTATGATTTCTAACTGCCTCAGCAAGATTTGATGTTTGACAGTGTCAAAGGTTTTCGCCAAATCCAGAAAAACTGTTAGGCACTTTTACCCAGTATTGAAATTATTCCATATACTGTGAACCAAGTAAAATACGGCATTTTCGGTTGACATCTGTTCTCTGAATCCATACTGACATTCATATAATATATTATTATTCTCCAGGAATTGAACTAGTCTATTTTTCAAGCTTTATTCGAAAAATTTTGCGAAATTGTTAGTGATAGTTATTGGCTAATAGTTTGTGGCAAATTCCTTGATGCCAGATTTGAATGATTCACATTCGGAGTAATCGGCTATAATCATTGATCCTCTTCAGAACTAATTTATTTCTTTTTTTTTTTTTTTCAGTTGATATTCGATGAATTCAAAGTCGGCCGATACGAAGCATCTGCCCTGGATGGCTGCCCAGATGGTTACATGCAGCTCAGCGAACTAGGACGACCATTCACCGGAGGCTCGTGGTGTGGATCCTCATCAGGACCTGCTGCCTATTATAGCGAAACATCCACAGTCACAGTGACCGTAAAACTCTTCGGATCGCCCCAAATCCCATTCGCTTTCAAACTCCGATACAGATTCGTCTCCAAAAGAGAAGCTATAGTCCGATTTGGCTCACCAGCAGCCCCGTTAGAACGTGGACAGGTTGCACCAGGCACCTACTGCACTAGGCAGTTCGAAGAGTGTTACAGAAAGCCGTGCAGACTTCAGTCTCCAAACTACCCTGGTATGTACCCCAGGAATGTTTCTTGTTATTGGAGTCTACGACAGAAATTTGTGCCCACTTGCAAACATGCTATGATCGCAGTTCGACAGGAAGCAGCTCACAAAATGCATATGAAACGATCTATCAACGTTGCCGGACTCAACAAAACGGCCAGAGCTCTGAGAGCATGGAGAGACTGTACTGGAGAAAGAGATCATCTGATTTTTTATGATGGTGGTTCTACTAATGATCCAGTTCTAGCAAAATACTGTGGAGGTGACTGGCTCCCTAGGGTTGTTTCACGTGGTCCAGAGATGCTAGTAGCATTCCATTCCTCACCTTTCAGTATTCCTCTACATTCACCTCCATCTCATTCTCCTTTGAGAGGATTTGAACTAGATGTAGATGTGATATTTGCAGACTCAGACTCTCTGGACTATTCAAGGCATCCTTCGAAGTGTGAGTTTGATGTAAATGCCACCAGTCCTGACAGTGACGAGGTATGGACTGGTAGAGGTAGAAAAGGTAGGCTCATAAGTCCCAAACATTCATTACCACCAAATACGACTTGCACCTATAAGTTCAGAGGCTTTCCAGGTGATTTGGTATGGATCAGTTTTATATCCTACAGTGAGAGAGCTCTATTAGTAGGCGAGAGTACCCACGCTTTGCTGAGCAATGGTTCTATTGGAAATGGCTGTTCTACAAGACTCAGAATATGGGACGGAAATAACTTGATTGAAGACAAATGTGACGAACCCCCAAAATTATGCGATCACACTGCTTTGAGTAACGCCACAAGACTGACAAGACCTTGTTCTGTGGAAGAGAGCTATCTCTCTACAGATAGAACTCTGGTAATCCAGCATCATACTGAAGATGGCACTGCCCTACACCCAGCGTCATTCAAACTGAAGTATGAGTTCGTTGATACCAGACTTGGTGGTGATTCGTGGCCCGATAGAGAGGAAGTTGGACCTTGCCATCGAATCTTCAAGAAGGAACACGTTGGTGAAGTGACTGCGCCTAGAAATATATTCCTGTATGGTCGTGGTGGAGCTAATAGTCTTAATTGTGTATATAGATTCGAAGCAGGTGTAGATGAGAGAGTGAGATTGATACTGAACAATGCATCATTTGGACTCAATCCCAGTTGTGAAACCATCAATGACCCACATTCAGCTAGACACATGTGTGACCATATTTCAGAAAGCCATACCTCTGAACTAAATATTTATGAACGACCTTGGAATGATATTCGTATCCACAGAGCTTGCATTTGTGATAACTCTACGTTGTCCAGTAAATCAATTGTGTTCACATCTTCTGCTAGAAATCTAGAGCTTCAATTCACTGCCAGAGACATGAATATCACAGAAGACTTCACGGTTATACATTTTCATATACTTTTTGAGCTCATCAAAATGTCAAATTGTCCACGGAATCAGAGATTACGTGGATATGGGGGAGATATTCAGTTCAATATTCCACCGATAGATCGAACTGAAAATTTATGTATGGGGATGCCTTGGGTGGTTGAAGCACGATATAACAGGAGCCTATTCCTATTGAGTTGGGGTGCTTTTCTTCCATTGAAGCCAAGGGTTGATGAACCTTCCCGTTGCCCTACATCGAACAGAATCATGATTTATTCTGGTCGTCCTCCTAAGTTAGTAAGAGTTGTGTGTCCTGCAGAACCTGGTGCTCGACCTCTAGCAGTTCATGTTTTCAGTGAGGAATGGTGGGGTGAAGCCTTATCGCATATCGTACAACGACCACCCAATTTCCTAGTAGAATGGGTGGGATTTGAACCAGGTGTAGCTGCTATCAGCTGGCTGGAGATATCAAGATCCAGATCATCGTTGCTTCAACAGTTGCAAGTTCCCATCAACGCCAGTACGAATGATACGGACCTTGAGTGCGCGTACAGGTGTCCGGAGTTAGATGCGTGTATAAGTGCTGCTTTATGGTGTGACGGTAAAGATCATTGTCCCTCGGGCTATGATGAGTCCGAAGCCCAGTGTGGAGCTACCTCAAAACTCTTGAACTCTTTACCGCTGTCAGCCTTGGCTGCTGCAGCAGCTGTAATATCATCAATCATTCTTCTTGTATGCCTAACTTTGCACCGACTGCGTGCCAGGCGTCGCAGGAGGTTGGCAAAAAAGAAGTTACTAACAGGGCCAAGACTGTTAGATCCAAGTTTGAATTCTTGACATAAGTCGCCACCTGTAGAATATATCCACGTGGATCGGGAAACGACCGTATGAGGTCCAGTGTTCGCCGGTTTGTCCGTCCCTATGCTCATTTTGTATCTACCGGTGCCTTTCAGTGATTTACAGAGCTTTAACATGTTTGCCCCACATTTTCAGTAATATAGATATCTCTGTCTTGGATAGTTATAATATATTTGCACAGACAAAATTCCATTATTTTCATGATACGGATATAAAAATTGCATATTTGCGAAATGTAGTATGAAACTTTGCACAACCAGCATACCTACAGCGACAACATTTTTGCACTCCGAGCAAAATCACATCTCTTTCTCGATGCTTCCATTCATCGAATTAACGAAAACTTCAATGAGATTCTGATATCAGTGCGAATAGTTGAGATTTTGTGCTAAAATGAACAAATTTCACACAAAGAGCGATAGTCATGAATGTCAACAGTACCTTTTATTCTTGGAAAATTCAACTTTGAGAATAATAACAAGATATGAACCTGTGAGCAAGGTGTCCGTATAATTTTTCAAAATTTCAAAATAGCTCCATACATAATAATGGGGTTCTTGACACGTTAGATTCATGCCATTTATCTATTCCATTCTAATTATTCTATGTATTCTCAGTATTTCAAATCGTCATTTTGTTATTCAAATCATCTCAATCATTTTTTTCAATAATCGGAATAATCACCTCTCGAAAACACTAGCACTCGATGACATGTCATACCAATGTGGACTTTCAGTGTTTCATTGCTCAACAACCGATGAAAATATTTCCACATTTCACATTGAAATGGGAAGTGAACTGGAATAAAGACTATACGTTAGTCTCATCGTATATAATTGCAATGGTTTGGTTGCGGTATATGACGTCACACGTTATTCCGCATTTTACTTGATATGGAGGATGTTCAATTTTGATGATCATTCGAAAAATGTACGGGGCTCTGAGGAGAAAACGGCTAGCGAAGTGAGCTAGTTTGGGTAGTTCTTTAAAATGATGAAATTGAAGCTTTTATTGAAATAGGCCATTATGTATCGCTGTTTCATTTCGTACCATACATCATCGAAACATTTCGATCCTACACAAATATTGAAATAATCATCAACAGGAATATTGATCATTGTCATATCGTTAGGATCACGTCGATGTAGTAGCACGATCTCAATTGTTCATTTCATTTCTTGCTTTGCATCAAAAATTACATCTGTGAGATGTTCAGAGGATGGCAAACTATCGATACTTCGCGCAAATGACCTGATAAGGACTTGAAATATAGTTCTATGAGTTCACGATATGGAGAATACACGATATCCTACAGAACTTCAATGGGATTTATTGGAAATTGATCCATCCATTCAATCCTGGAGCACGACCCTTCACAAGTATGATCAGCTATAGTCGTATTCTCATCTGAAATAACCCAGGCAACCAAATGATTTCTTCTTGACAATTATTCTACATCAATCGACACTAAGTTTAATTGGTTTTCGCGGATTGACCACAAAAGTTTTTCTGAGTTCGTGAAAACGTGAATTCTGAACAATTTTCTGGGGAACAAGAATTATTGAAATTTCAAGTGGCCACTGAGTATTTGACTCCAAATGTTCATCATTGAGACCTCCAATATTTTATGTCCAAGAAATGACATGACGGATGAACCAATGGACACTCGAATAAGGCGTCATTATGACGTATTCAATCTGGCTTGTGCTACCTATAGTAAGTTGGTACTCATAAAAGAGCGACATCCTAAATTATTTATATATACTCTATGAAATATAGTTATTACCTGGAGAAATCGTCCAGAATTGTCTCCTACCTTTTCTGATGCGGAAAGTCCATTAAAAAATGTAGTTTCTATTTTCCATAAACTCATTTCCGATAATGAATTTGAAAGAAGATTTGAAGTTTTGAAGTTGATTTTTAACAGCTTTTCTACGATATCATCTGGATGCCCTGATATTTCAAAATTATATTTTCAACTCGAATAAACATCCCTCAACATTCCACGAGTTAATTGACAGTAATTCAAGCTATTTAACTTCTAATTCTTCCATCTCCTGAGTATAAATGAAAATTTGTATTCAAGAATTTTTCACATTGGGAGACATGTTAGTTTCATTCACAATTCACGAGCACTTACTCATGCAGTCACATCATTTCATCATTCGACCCTTTCACACATAAAGTAGGCCTCAAAATATTATTTCCTCCTTTGATAATCATCTCAGGAAATTCAGGAAATAGTCTATGTTTGTATTCATTATTATATAATCAGCAGCGGTGGAAATTACTTTCAGAAAGCTCACAATTTCATCTTAAAAAAAAAGTTCATCACAACATTTCATAATATAATGATTGCTCTGACGATATGGAATATGATTAGCAAAATTGATGGAGATTGAAGCGAGATCGATTTATATCGATTGACATGTCATTTGAAATGAGACAATCAATGTTTAATTAGTTCATATTTTCACCTGTGCTGTACTGTTTCAGTGAAACAGTTTCAGGCTTCCCAATTTACACCGCTAGACTCGTTGCAAAACGAGATTCGAAATGATAATTATAACCTGATTTGATTCCAATCAGAAAGCAATGTCAAATTGGGGATTCCTAATGATCATGTGACTATATTCTGAATATTCATTCCCGACTATTCGTACTTGATGATAGGTCACGAAATTATTTGTTGATATTCACAAAAGAAATTTCGGTGATATCAGAATACTGTTTCGAATAAGTTTTTTCCATATAGTGATAAATGCCGGATTTTGTAATTTCCTTGATTCACTTATTGACTAGGTTAGGAAGTGATATACACTACTTGCTTGCAGCCATAGTATCATCGATATACAGAAGGAAATATATTGAAAAGGAAGACACTGAATTTCCCAGTTCTGGAGAATACGACTTTGTCACAGTGCTCGAAAGTTGGTATCCTCATTTCCCCTTCAATCATTGAGATGATATTATGAAATTTGAAGAACAGAAAATATCATCCGAAATCACAATAATCACTTAGATTTTCCGATGAGGAATATTTTCAATATCTCTATCGCTCCAGATGAATTCAGAATCCTCATTTAATGATTATGGAAATAATGATCATGATTCCAGGAGATGTGAAACACACATAACCTTATTCTTCAAATTCTGAAATTTTTGAATATTCGTATATAAATTCCACTCGAGTCGATGTGTATGGAATAACTGCACTTATTTTCATTTCTATCCAATACTGAGAAATGTCTTTCATACTTCCGTCTTAAGCAAAACACCTGTTACCCACAAATTGACGGAAATTGTGATTTTTGGCCTATTGGCTGCTTGGCAACTAATACTTGATCCTCACTGAGCGAAAGCCCTGCCCCTATATTGGAAATCAGTTATTTTGGCCATTCCAATCACTCACAAATATCACTTATCTACACAGCACTAAAGCAGAATACCGCATCTGCATTATGTGGCGCGTGAAGATACGTGGTTTTCGCGTAGCAAGGGTGATTCAATTTCTTACAGTATTAGACCAGTGCTGAAGCCTTTGAAAACGGTGAAATGTGAAGAAAAATCATAGTAGGATGTCATTGAAAGAGGAAGAGAATATAAAAAAGATGAAAGGGAAAATAAATTACGGGGGATCTGAGAACGGGAAGTGGTAGGGGGTGAGTATTCAAGGGTAAAAAACGGTTTATCTTGATTTTCAGCAAAACTATGTGCCCTATGGAAAAGAAATGCATAGCGAAGTTGTAGGTAATAAAGAGACCTTTAACTTTTGTGACCACACTTTTTTCCCATAACCTCGAAATTCATGTGAAAAATTCTAAAAATGAAGTTTTCGGTTTTTTATTTTTATCTTCTGCAAAAAAAATTTCTTTCACGGAATTTGTTTAAGACTTACCTTCCCATGTCCCTAAGACACTGTAATTTTCTTGATTCGAAATATTCATTTTTTCACCTTATATTGACATAATATCGAAAAAACACCCTAATTTTGAATCGGAAATTCTCACGTCAAAATATCAGCTCTTTGAAAAAACTCGCTGCGTTTTTTGTTCATTGAAATCTCTTCTTTCTGATAATGTGAGGAAATATATATATTACTATGGTAAATAATGTTCTCAGAAAATGCAAAGAAAATAAAAACTCGAATCCGAATTTATTTTTAATCACTATGTACAATTTTGAGCTATATTGTGAGATTTTCACTTTGATTACTTGAAAAAGGTGAGATGTTATGTTACATTGAGAAACCAGAAATTTTACAAATCCATAAATCATAAAGATTGCAAGAAACATGCGAAAATATTTGTTCTAAATATTGAAGATAGGCTGCAATTTTTTTTATGATCAAGAATTTGATTCATCAAATGATAATTACATTCATGTCATGGAAAATCTCATGATATATGAATTGAAATGTAAATCGGAATATTGAATTTAGATACTTCATACTGATTATTATCATTCATAATAATATTTTTAAATGCATTTATCTTCTTATTTATAAACCTTATCTTGAACCCTAATCACTTATTCATTACTCTTCGGTGGCATTTCGTCATCGTTAGGTTCGACAAACCTTCCCGATTTTAGTAGATCTTTGAAATCTTCAGGACCATCACCGTCTTCGTATCCAATATTATTTTTAGTCTGATTTGGTCCTTCATCCACAGTTCCATCCTAATCACAAACTTCCTTCAAATCCTATCTTCAATATATAAATAGAACAATTATTTCCGCATGTTCCATGCAATCTTTATGTAATTAAAATGTGAATTTCACTAAATAGCTCGACATTGTACCAGGTGAACAACTCAGAACGGCTGTCATATCTATCATTCTTCCAACTTTTAAGCTATCATGTTGCGTTGGTCTGTTGAGATTTGGTTTCTCTATTACATCGTGTAATGATATTCATACCATAAGATTTATTCTACCTCAAAATTGTATCATAATTCGTTGCTGTGATATTGCCGACA